CAAAACCTGTACTTCTTAAAAGTAAAATACATGGATCCAAGGACCTTTGAACGTGGATTTTTTAAAGATATATTTTGTAAGAGTAATTTTCAAGGATCTAAGCACCTTTTATCTTGGGTTTTTAAGAGTTATTCTATAGGACTTCTACAAGGCACGACTTTTTTAAACATCCTAAATGTACTCCATATGGCCACAGTGGGTATATATCATTTGATAAGGCCAAAATGTGCCTCATTGAAATAACGGTCTCTTTGAACTAAATCTGTTTCAGGACATTCGTAGTCGACCTAGCGATGTCCGTCCGTCTGTCAATCTGGCTGGCGCGCACGATAATTCTCGAACGGAATGTATTGTCAAACTTAGGTCCACTCCTTTTGGTAACTCCCACACAAACGGTCAAAATTTGGAATTATTAAACCCCTTATAAAATGCGAAATAAGCATCCGATTCTCTCCAATTTTCGAACATGACTGTATTTCTTTTAACAAAAGATTTGGTGTGAAGATGAAATATGTTGGTGCACTCCTTCTGCTACCTCTCCCACAATGGGTAAAACTTTTGAATAACTATTAAGTTTATAGTACGAGAAATTAGCATCCGATTATTTTCAAACTTTCCACATTCCAATATTTCTGCTAACTCAAGACCTGGTGTGAAGATGGAATATATCCGTTCACTCTTTTTGGTACCTACCCCACAAAGGATCAACATTTTCAATATCCATGAAGCTCATAAAACGCGAAATTAACATCCATTAGGTCAGACACGAAATGGCCAATATTGTCCAACTGCCTCGGAACCTCCCACATAAAGGGTCAACAGTTTGAATAATTATAACTCAAGGCAAAACCGACTGATACTATTTTACTTGTTTATTCTGATTTCGTTGGGAATATAGCAAATTTCGTAGACAAGCAAATAATATAGATGAGTCTAAATTTGGAGATACAGAGGGGCCTCTTTGGGGATGATAGCAAAATATTTTGCTTAAATATTGGGCAAATGTCCGTGGTCAAAAAACTAAGGCTAATATCTGGATAGTGCAGCGAAATCTTCCAAAATGGATTTGGACATAAGGGGACTTCTAAAATATTGGAGTGTTGTAGGGTATCACATGTTCGGCCCCGCTCGACTATAGCCTTTGCTTATTTGTTTTGTAATATGTATACCACAAGTGCACGAAAATTACTAAATAGTACAATATTTGGAACTGGGCATTAAAATCTGAAATTTGATATAAGGGTTGCTGTTCATGTGTGGCCTGGACATATGGAGTAGTTTTCGGAAATGTGTTCTATAATTGTAAGAAAAATACTGAATTGATTGTATCAGTTTTTAAGTTTTGGCGGTGGTTTGGATATGCGTCCTATATTTGTACAAAAAGTGCTTAATAGTACTAATTGGGTGAAGAGAAAGGGCTGAAATCCTTAAATTATGATATTGGGGTCTCAGTTGGAATCTAGAATTGAGATTTGAAGGTGCTTTTGGAAATGTGTACTATAATTGTACCATAAGTATTAAACACCACTAATATTAGGTCACTATTGATGTCTGTGGTTGAGAGAAGAAGCTAGTTTTTGGATATGCGTACCACCATGGATATGCGTACTGGTAGATGACTGCAATTGAGATTTCCGGTATAAGGGTCTCTGAAACATGTAATTGGCTTTATGACTATGTTCCAATCATAATGTACAAAGACCGATATGGGCCCTAATGTCCTTTTGGCATTAAGTCAGTTCGGCCTTCGCGTATATTATACTGTTATGCGCCTCTCTTTAAATGGCTTTTTTAATAACTTGGAGCTCATAAAAAATGTGCTCATCTATTTAAAAACAAGTAAGAAAGCTGTAAGTTCGGCCGGGCCGAAATTTTAATACCCTCCACCACTTGGTACAAATTTGACGATTTCCAAAAAAAAAAAATAAATAAATAAATAAATAAATAAATAAATAAAAAATAAATAAATAAAATCCGTTAAAAATTCTGTTAAAATCTTAAAAATACCGAATGCCTATACGAAGACGTGGACCTACAAGGCCCATTTTCTGTTTTATGTTGCAGTATCTATTACGAACTTCAAATACCAAATTTGGAACGATTCCGTTAAATAATGTCGCTAAAATCATCAAAAATACCGAATATCGGGGGGTACCGTTATATAGGGACTATACGAAGACGTGGACCTACACAGATTATTTTCTGTCATAGGCTGTAGTATCCATTTCTAACTTCAAATACCAAAGTTGAAACAATTCCGGTGAATAATGTCGCTAAAATCATCAAAATACCGAATATCGGGAGGTACTTATATATGGGGGCTATAGGAAAACGTGGACCTACATGGCTCATTTACGAACTTAACCTGCCTACTGGAAAAATAAACACGTGTGCAAAATTTTAGCCTTCTCTCTCAATTCGTTCGAAAGATATCGTGATTACAATAGACAGACAGACGGACAGACAGACGGACATGGCTAAATCGTCTTAGAATTTTACGCTGATCAAGAATATATATACTTTGTTGGGTCTGACATGAGTATTTCGAGGAGTTACAAACGGAATGACAAAATTAATATACCCTCCATAGTATGGTGGAGGGTATAAAAATTAAAAACATTTTGGGCTGGTTTATACATAATCATAATTATACCCTACAACACTATGTGTTGGGGGTATTATAAGTTTGATTGGGCCAAAAATTATGTAACACCACGAAATATTGGTTTCCCACATAGGAAAGTATATATGGATCATCCTAGCTCGCCGAGCTGAGTCGATCTAGCTATGTATGTCCGTCCGTCCGTCTGTCCGTCTGTCCGTCTGTCCGTCTGTCCATGTTAATTTGTAATCACTCTACAGGTCGCAATTATGGCCCGATCTTCACGAAATTTGGAATGGAGGTCGGGGTTGGGCCAGAATAGAACCCTATTTCTTTTTGAGATGATCGCCAAATGTTTAGGGGTTGAAATGGACCAAATACTGAAAAAATGTCGGATTTTGCAGTAGCTATACAGGTCGCAATTATAGACCAATCGACGCGGAATTTCGCATGTAGCTAGAGTTTAGGACGGGGAAGAAGCCTACCAATTTGGGTGGTCATCGGATAATATTTAGCGGGTAAAATAGACCATACCTTTTGTGTTAAAAAAATTCAAATTTTTTCATTAAACCGCGAATATTTTAAATCCCGGCGAAATCACAAAGCCATGACAAGGTTACTTCTGACCTTTACATTGATGTTAACATCCAACAAATCAGATATATAGCAAAATATGTGCGATATATATGTTTATCGAAGAAGATATGCTTGAAAGATCTCTTATATGTCGAGAACGGCTGAACTGATTTCGACAGTTCTCATTAATTCAGAATGGCCTCTTGGCAGGAAAGAAAAAACGTCTAAAAAAATCGCATAAAAAGATCTCTCTAAAGATGAAAATATTGATTTTGTAAAATTTTCTCATATTTTTTCAATTTTGTCACATTTTTGGCATATTTTCATTTTGAATTAAACATTTGGTAATATTTCTACAATTAACAAAACTAAGTAGTTATGACATCAGAATATCATATACAGATCGCATTTATGGCCCGATCCTTACGAAATTTTGCATGGGGATAAGAAGAGGGTCAGAATAGAAGCCTACTCTTTTTGGAGATGATCGCCATATATTTAGGGGTTGAAATGGACCAAAAAACTACAAAATTGTCGGCAGGTCGTAATTATCGCCCGATCATCACGCACATTTGAAAGGGGATTACCGGCCATTGCAAAAGCCAAGAGAGACTTTTTCGAGAATTCACAAATACAGGAAAGACGCACTTCTGACTATTTCGTTAACGAATATAGTCAAATGTCTGTATCTCATATAGATGCGTTTCAGTCAAAAACCAATAATAAATGTTAATCTTTTGCCACTTCTAAGAAATTATAGGTCTTTGGGAAATATTGGTTCCAGATCTAGGAAGATCTAGGAAGATCTAGGAAATGAGAAAATTAGTTTAAGTTGCTATTATTCGAAAATTAGAGAACGAAACCTGATGGTATTCTTTTATAATTTGTCACAATATCTTGTGGAATTCTTTCGAGTATCTCGCCTATATAAACTGTATCGTTTATTATGGTGTTGTAGGGTATTCAACGGTCGGCCTCGCTCGACTGTAGCCTTTGCTTACTTGTTTTTGTTGATTTTGGTTTTTGTTGAATGGTTCATATAAACCCATACATTTAAATACCTCTTCATTAAAGGCATGTAATGTGGGCCTTATGTCGTTTGGCCCTAAATCTGATTTGATTTCGATTTCCCCATATATATTTGTTTATTAGTTTCCTCATAGTTGTAGTCTTATATACCAACCTTCATTTATTAGAAAAAATATGCATTTCTATTTTAAAAAAGAAGTGTATACATCTAATCCGAAAATAAACTCTGATTATATTTCGAGTGATTTAAGGGTTAAACATCAAACACTTTACACTCCAGACCCGAACCGCAACAGAAAGACAGAAAAAAAGCAACAATGAAAATTGAAACAAATAAACTTTGCCACATAAAAATATTAAAAGATAAAACATTTATGTGTGAAAATGTGCCTGTGGTTGTGCCAGGACGACGATAATACCGATGTTGGTGATGATGAGGATGGTGATAACGATGAAAATGTGCGAGAATAAAAACAAGAGCATTTGCATTAAATCCTACAATAACAACAACAACGAGATGAACAACAACAATAATAATAATACAAATCAAGATTCAGGATACCACAATTCAGTGGTTGTAATAGTGGTGGCTTTATTACATACAGCTCTACACGTGTGAGCCACTAAATGTGTACGGGTGTGTGTGCATTTGTGTGAGTGTTTGCTTGCTTATTTGTCGAGTACACAATGATTCCTTAGTAGTCGTAGTAGTTGTTGTTGCTATTGCTACAGCTGTATTGGTGTGTCACACCGAGGTGTGAGTATTGGTGAGAATTATTGTTCGTGTTTGCTTTGCCATGGCTTTGGTTTGACTGGTTCTCGGTTGGCCGTTTTGTGTTTTTGTTTGCGGTATTATTCTTCGGAGATTTTTTGCGGGCTGCTGTTCTTGTTGTTGACATTGTCGTATTGTGACAACGGTCAATTCTCATCGCCAGCGCTAAATACACTGTCAAAATCAGGCACTTCACGGCGATTACAACAGCAATCAGAGTAGTAGTAGTAGTTGGCCGAATTTCCGTCCTCCAACCAAACGCCCGGACTGGAATGTTGTTTGCTCACACGGCGTATTCGACACACCAGCATCATCACTCTGTTACAAACAATAAATGGCGCCGGTATTAAATGATGCTGCTATGTAAAAAAATTGCAAAAAGTTATACAAATGGTGGACAATAACAACAATTGAAAGTGCAAAGAAAAAAAAAACAACAACAAAATAGATACAATTAATTTTAAGCCCCAAACCCAAGACCACAGAGAGGCTATGTGTAGTGTGTGATATGTGCAAATGTTTGTGGTTTTTGTGGTGTTAAATGTGCAGACAATTGGCTAAATAAACATTTTAACAAAAGAACCACAAAAAAACAAAAAATCATAACAAAAAATATCTAGGATCGTTCATTGTGCTTCGGAATAGGGTTATATTACTTTGGAGAAATTGGGAAAACTTCTGTAAACAAATCAAGTAAGTGTAATTAATATTTATTTAATTTTGTTAAATATTTTTTTTTCATATAAACAATTACAGCAATTGTTTACATCATACACCCCGAAAGATTAAGGCAGCATCCCTTAAATAGCTGATAATGACACTATTTTTACTAGCGCCATCTACTGTAACGTAGACCACAACACAAATAAAATGTCAATATTTACTACTCACCACTAGGTGTCACTCTCTATCCCTCTCACAACACATGCTACGATTTCATACAACCCTGCTTACCATTGAAATATCGGGGTTGTATTTCTCTCTCTCTCTCTCCACAAAAAACAAAAACATTCGTTACGCACACATGTTTACATTCACACATTGTGTGTTCGTTATTTTGAAAATCCCAACAGATGTCTTGGCGTGAATAATCGTCATCGTCGAACGAGGGATGTTAGTGCATTGCTATAGAAAAAAAACAAGTGTTCCAATTGGATATTTCTTTTTTTTTTTTTTTTGGAAAGCAATCAACCCGCATTATTTTCTTTTGTATTGAAAGCAAGCAAAATCAAAACCCATTTCAAAATAGTTCCAGATGAATTTTCGAACATATGCGATATATTTGATTATAGTTTCGAAAAGGGTAGAACCTAATAAAGGAATTGTTTATTTCAAAATGTTTTTATCCTTAAAAACAAAAACCAATTCAAAGGGGACTATTTTGAATTTTTTTTTTTGGAGATTGAACTATTTAAAAACTGATCTTTAATTTCATGATGTATAGAAGGAACTAAGGGCGACCCTATACCATTCGGCATATATTCTCGGAGCATTCGATAACAAATTGAATTTTTTTATTGAGTAATCGTGAGAATATTTTCTATGATATTATTAAGACTTTGGAGCGCTTCAAAGTTTAAATCGTACTGAACTTCTATACTGGAGCTATATTCGAATATAAATCGATTTCCATAAAAGTGACAATGGTATTTTTAGGCTGTATGTGATCTCTGGTACCTGGTATGACGAATCTAAAGTGAACTGAAAGACATATACCCACATGAGTATTGAAAAAAAAAAAAAAAAAAAAAAAACACTTTTGTACGGACCCCATATAACAAGGAATATTTAAGGATTTTTTTTTTTGGGTGTTTTAGTTCACAATTTCCGACTGTATGTAAGAACTACACATATAGTTCCAAGTTTGTTTATAAACCCCATATAACGGTATATCCCAATATTCGGTATTTTGATGATTTTAGCTACATATTTTAAACGAATTACCTCAATTTGAAGTTGGTAATGAGCACGTCCTTCTCTGGCTGAAAATTGGCTGTTAAGGCCCACATTTTCGTATAGACCAATATAACAGTAACACATGATATTCGGATTTTTTTTATTATTATTTTTATTTTAACCATTTTTTTACATGTTGCAAGTTCTTTCCAAATGGTAGAGGGTATTAGAAGTTCGGCGCGGCCAAACTCATCTGTTTTTATATCCTACAACACTATGTGTTGGGGGTATTATAAGTTTGAAAGGGCCCAAAATGATGTATCACCTCCAAATATTGGTTTCCCATATAGGAAAATATATGTATGGATCTTCCTATCTCGCCGAGCTGAGTCGATCTAGCTATGTATGTCCTTCCGTCCGTCTGTCCATGTTAATTTGTAATTAAGCTACAAGTCGCAATTATGGCCCGATCCTCACGAAATTGAAAATTGAAGTGGGGTAAGGGAGAGAATATAACCCTATTGTATTGGGATATGATTGATTGAATTAGGGGTTGAAATGGACCAAAAACAGAATATTTTCCTGATTTTTCAGTTGCTCTTTAGACCACAATAACGAACCACGGAAATTTACACGGAATTAGAGATCAGGACTGGTTCGAAGCCTACAATTTTGGCCATCGGCCATCGTACAATATTTAACGGGTAAAATATACCACAACTTTTATGTAAGAAAATACGAAAATGTTCACTAAACCGCGAATATTTTTAATCCCAGCCAGATCACAAATACATTAAAAGGTCACTTCTGACCATTAAAGTGATGCTGATAGCCATGAAATCGGATATATAGCAAAATAGGTACAATATACATGTAAAATTAAAAGATCTTATTTATGCTGTTATAAGTTAAGAACCGCTGGGCCGGTTTTCAAAATTCCCATCGATTTCGAATGGTCTCTTGTCAGAAATGGATAAAATCTAATAAAATCGCAAAAAAATACACTAATAAATATATGAATATTTTTTGTTCCATTTTTTATTTTCAATTTTTATCATATTTTTTATCGCATGCGATTTTTTCAATTTGACTTACAATTTTGAATTATAAATGTTTACACCCCGCAACACTACGTTTTGAGAGTATTATATACATGTCGCAATTATCGTTCGATCCTCCCGAAATTTTACATGGGGGTCGGGTTGGGGTCAGAACTAAAACTAACTATTGGACTAAAATAATTTAAATATTTCTAGTTTTGTAGTCGCTATATAGGTCACAATTGAAAACCGTTCGACACGGAATTTCGCATAAGAAGAGAGTTAAAGACGAAGTGTAGCATTTTGGATCACCATTGGATTATATTTAGCTGCAAAATGGGCCGCAACTTTCGTGTGAAATTGTTTTGAATACCTAACAAATATTGGCCAAATTCCTAGGGGCAAAAACCTATTTGCAACATCTGGGCAGGGCTCTTTAATTTTATTTCAAAAATGAAATCTTCCTAAATGGATTTGGACATTAGAGGACTTGGAACATATTATTGAGTTGTAGGGTATCACATGGTCGGCCCCATGGCTAAGGCTAGAATTGCGAAATTTTTCATTGACGAGGTGGGAGATAAGTCGGAGGTTCGGGATATCTATACTAAAAGATATTAAACAAGTGACAAAACAACTAAGTCGAACTTTTAATACCCTCGCTATTTGGAAGAAACTTATCCCTGCTTATTCGGAGGCTATACCAAGACGTGGTCCTGCATAAGTAATTTTCTTTTGTCATAGGCTGTAGTACCCATTAAGATCTTCAAATACGAAATTTTAAAAAATTCCGGTGAATAAATTAGCTAAAATTATCAGAATACCGAAAAAGGGAGATACCGTTATATGAGGGCTATACGAAGACGTGGACCTGCATATGATATTTTTAAGCAGAGGCTGTAGTGCCCATTACAAATTTCGAATACCAAATTTAAAACAATTCCGGTGAACAATGTCGCTAAAATCGTCAAAATACCGAATATCGGAAGGTACCGTTATATGGGGGCTATACGAAGGCGTGGACCTGCTCAGACAATTTTCTGGCATAGGCTAAAGTATCCATTTCGAACTTCAAGTTACAAAGGAAATGTCAATGTTAATATACCCTCCATAAAATAGTGAAGGGTATACAAAAATCCACATTTTTATTAGCATATTTTAATGCGATTTTTTTTTTGATTTTATTTTTTTCTATCAAAATACCGTCCTGAATTATCCTGAGTTATACGAGCAAGCAACAAAGTCAAACGGCATAATTTTTACATTTTTTTAAATTTTATTGAATGAAAGAAAAAAATGTCGGAAATAGCATCAGATTATAGAATACGTTTAGATTTGTTCGAATTGCTCACCTTTGACACGAACTATGCCCTTCAAACGGCCAATGAAACCGTCACACGCTGCCTGAATGTTGCTCTGCGACATTTTGGCACATTCCCAGAATATTTTCGCTATAATAATCGACATTTATTCTAATGCCACGGTGAATTAATATGAGCGGGGAGCGACCATCGGCTGTTACGGCGGCCCACCATAGCCGGCGCTTAAGTTCTGGTAGCCAACCGAAGGTGCACATTTTCATTCGACTTCTTTGGCAAGTAAACACGATCATTTTGTTTGTTTACAAACTGCTGGACAACGAATGTTTTCTCATCGGAGAAAAGCAAATTCGGCAGTTCACTACTTTCGGCCAAGCGAAACAACTCTTTAGCTCATTTAAGTCTATTCTCTTTCTGTTGCGATGCAAGTTCTTGCACTGTTTAGAATTTCAATGGCTTTATCCTGAGCTCATTTTTCAATATTTGCCGAATTGAATATTGCGATATGTTCACCTCACAAGCCATTTTTCGGCCACTGCGACGCTGGTTTCGATCAAGTCGCTTCTTTACTTTTCGAACCATTTCTGCTGATGTTGCTGTTTTCTTCTGTCCCTTTTCTTGACGTCGGGCTACGCTACCAGTATCACGGTAACGAGCAATGGTACGATGGTTTTCCAGCCAAGTATAAAGAAGTCACACTATCACTATTGAATCCCATCACGAATAACTTTTGTTCTGGAAAATTCTCAACAAAATGCTTTTGTATTCTTGTAAACAATATAATGAGCTGTCACTGGAATAATTTTAAAAGCTGTCGGACGTGTGGCTTAGAAATGACAACAGTCTGAAGTTGGTTGCAGTTTTTTCATCTCACCCTGTATGCTGCCAAGACCTGTATAAAATCCGACAGATAATTTTTTACTTTTCCCTTTCTGATCTGGTCATTGAAAATTATTTTTATACCCTACAACACTATGTGTTGGGGGTATTATAAGTTTGATTGGGCCAAAAATTATGTAACACCACGAAATATTGGTTTCCCACATAGGAAAGTATATATGGATCATCCTAGCTCGCCGAGCTGAGTCGATCTAGCTATGTATGTCCGTCCGTCCGTCTGTCCGTCTGTCCGTCTGTCCGTCTGTCCATGTTAATTTGTAATCACTCTACAGGTCGCAATTATGGCCCGATCTTCACGAAATTTGGAATGGAGGTCGGGGTTGGGCCAGAATAGAACCCTATTTCTTTTTGAGATGATCGCCAAATGTTTAGGGGTTGAAATGGACCAAATACTGAAAAAATGTCGGATTTTGCAGTAGCTATACAGGTCGCAATTATAGACCAATCGACGCGGAATTTCGCATGTAGCTAGAGTTTAGGACGGGGAAGAAGCCTACCAATTTGGGTGGTCATCGGATAATATTTAGCGGGTAAAATAGACCATACCTTTTGTGTTAAAAAAATTCAAATTTTTTCATTAAACCGCGAATATTTTAAATCCCGGCGAAATCACAAAGCCATGACAAGGTTACTTCTGACCTTTACATTGATGTTAACATCCAACAAATCAGATATATAGCAAAATATGTGCGATATATATGTTTATCGAAGAAGATATGCTTGAAAGATCTCTTATATGTCGAGAACGGCTGAACTGATTTCGACAGTTCTCATTAATTCAGAATGGCCTCTTGGCAGGAAAGAAAAAACGTCTAAAAAAATCGCATAAAAAGATCTCTCTAAAGATGAAAATATTGATTTTGTAAAATTTTCTCATATTTTTTCAATTTTGTCACATTTTTGGCATATTTTCATTTTGAATTAAACATTTGGTAATATTTCTACAATTAACAAAACTAAGTAGTTATGACATCAGAATATCATATACAGATCGCATTTATGGCCCGATCCTTACGAAATTTTGCATGGGGATAAGAAGAGGGTCAGAATAGAAGCCTACTCTTTTTGGAGATGATCGCCATATATTTAGGGGTTGAAATGGACCAAAAAACTACAAAATTGTCGGCAGGTCGTAATTATCGCCCGATCATCACGCACATTTGAAAGGGGATTACCGGCCATTGCAAAAGCCAAGAGAGACTTTTTCGAGAATTCACAAATACAGGAAAGACGCACTTCTGACTATTTCGTTAACGAATATAGTCAAATGTCTGTATCTCATATAGATGCGTTTCAGTCAAAAACCAATAATAAATGTTAATCTTTTGCCACTTCTAAGAAATTATAGGTCTTTGGGAAATATTGGTTCCAGATCTAGGAAGACCATTTAAGTGCAACATCTACCAATAAATTGGAAATGAGAAAATTAGTTTAAGTTGCTATTATTCGAAAATTAGAGAACGAAACCTGATGGTATTCTTTTATAATTTGTCACAATATCTTGTGGAATTCTTTCGAGTATCTCGCCTATATAAACTGTATCGTTTATTATGGTGTTGTAGGGTATTCAACGGTCGGCCTCGCTCGACTGTAGCCTTTGCTTACTTGTTTGTTTTAATTTATATTTATTTTTAATCAATGTAATTTTTTCAATATTTTATCACTACAGCTCCCCATTAATAAAAAATATCAATCGAAATGGAACATCCTAATCTACCCTTTGGCTTTGCCCTGCCCGGTCATCCACCAATACCACCAACAGCGAATATGATGGCAGCTCATCCAACAGCACATCCTGGGCCTACTGCCAGTCCACCACAAAGTGTTCCTGGGAGACGGACACCCCTTGGCTCAGTGGGTCTAGGTGGTTTCTATGCCCAAGGTCTGGGTATGATACAAGGTGGTGCTGGCATGCCACCTGGTGATGAAAATAAAGCCGACTCGGGTATTATGGCCATGGATAAAGGTGCCAATAATTTAATGTTGGCACCATCCACCAGTGGTGGTCCAGGTGGTTCATTGCTGTCGTCAAGCGGTGGAAACGGCGGCGGCGGTAGTGTGAGGGTTAGAGGAGGTAGTGCTGTTTCGGACGGAGATGGAGGAAGCTCATCCAGTGGAGGCGGCGGTGGGGGAAAACAAAAAAATCGACAAGGAAAATCTGTGCGTTTGAATATTAATGCAAGGTAGGAAGGGCAAAATCAAATTCAAAATTTGATAGGGAATTAACAAATGGTCTTTTCATTTTCACAGAGAACGCCGAAGAATGCACGATTTAAATGATGCCTTGGATGAGTTACGCACTGTGATACCCTATGCCCATTCGCCATCGGTACGTAAGTTATCGAAAATTGCCACCCTACTGCTGGCCAAAAATTATATTCTCATGCAGCAGAATGCCATTGAGGAGTTAAGAAGGTAAGTTTTCATATTTTCGATATCTAAAAGGAAATTTAATAACTTTTTCCTTGTTTTTAACAGACTTCTAGCCTATATTCAAAGTACCACCGGTGCAGCCCCTCTAGACTTGGCCTCATTCCCAGCGGCAGCCAAATTACAGGCCTTACTGCAAGGAGCAGGTGTTGAGCCACCAACAGGTGGTAACAGTTAAATTTATAATTTAAAAAAGAAGGGAAATTTGAAATTTTAAGAAATAAAATAATTATAAGGTAGAATCTTAAAAAAAGGTAAAAATGGGAAGGTACAGCCTATCGAGAACTGCTATGGCTTTCACTTTAAAAAATGACTTAAAATTAGATAACTCTAGGATGAGATTCAACCACACCATTTTCAGATATAAATCGGATCAATTTAGCAAAAATTCGTAATATCTTATTTGCTCTTCGAAAATTTCACGCATTTCATTCGAAAGTAAACTACGTAAATTTCCATCTGCATTTTTATATATATTCTGACAAATTTGAAAATGTTATTTATTTTTTTGAAAAAATAATATTTGTGCCAGATACGCCAAGAATCGTAACTTGTTAAATAAATTTACCAAAGCAATTTGAATGTCAATTTAGATTTTAGATTGATATAACCCATAACAATTCTAGTCAGTTATTTCCAAAATTAATGATATTTAATTATATACACTTAAGATAATGTATATAAACGACCCATATACCTACATATATGTATTAATTTTTTATATTTTTAAGTAGATTTTAATTTAAGATAAACTAAATTTGTGAACTTATGAAAAAAATGATATTATCTACACTTAGCGATTATAACCGAAAAATGAAACAACTCAAATAAAGGAAATGAATATAAAAAATATATTATTTAGTTCCTTAGAATATTTAAAGATTCTAAAATATTCTTCTTGTTATGAAGAAAAAAGCTGAAAAAGTCGAATTAAATTTAGAAAATATTACGATATTACGGTGATAAGTATTGGCCCCAAAGTAACAAAATACTTTTCCATGACAGCTAAAAGCGTTGACTTATAAGGGACAGTTTTTTTTTGTAAGAAACGTTTTTGTTTATTAAAAATCATTACAAAACAAGTAAGCAAAAGCTATAGTCTTGCGGGGCCGACTATGTGATACCCTACAACACTACAATATATTAAAAGCCCCCTTATGTCCAAATCCATTTTAGAAGATTTCGATTTTTCTGTTTTTGGTTTATTTGAACCCCTAACTATTTTGCGATCATCTCCAAAAGCAAAAGGGCCCCTGTACTCCCAAAATCAGACTCATCTGTATGATAACCTTGTCTACGATATTTGTTTGGTATTTTTTCACACAAAAGTAGTGGTCCATTTTACCCGCTGTCCTAAACCCTAACTTCATGCGAGATTTCGTGTTCTTTGGATTCTATTTGTGACCTTTATAACGGCTACAAAATCAGGAACATTTTTAGTTGTTGATCCATTTCTGCCCCTAAATATATTGCGGACATCTTTGAAAACAATAGGCCTAACCCTTCTGCAATTGCAATCTGTGTTGTAAGGTGAAAAAATATTACAAAATATACACTTCAATATTATAAGTCAAATTGAAAAAATCGCATGCAATACAAATTATGAAAAAAATAAAAAATATCACAAAATACATCCAAATCTATATTAACATCATTATTGACATCTTTTTATGCGATTTTCTTATATTTTATACTTTTATGCCAAGAGGGCATTCTGAATTGACAAAATTTGTCAAAACAGTTCTAGCCATTCTTGAGATATAAGCGTTCTAGCTAACATCCCCTTCCTTTTTATATACACATTGTATATATTTCGCTATATGTATTCGATATATTTACCATTGGTATCTATATAACGGTCAGAATTGACTACTGACTGTCTATTTGTAATTTGGTGGGATTAAAAATATTCGCGGTTTAATCGAAAATTTGACTTTTGTTTAACACAAATGTTATGGTATTATATTTTACCCTCTAAATATTACCCGATGACCATCAAAATTGTAAGGCTTCAGCCCAGCCCTAAGCTCTAGCCCCTTGTTGACTTCCGCTCCGATTGGTCTATAATTGCGACCTGTAGAGCAACTGCAAAATCAGGATTTTTTTCAGTGTTTGGTCCATTTCAACCCCTAAATATCGTGCGATCATCTCCAAAAGCAAAAGGGTTCTATTCTGGCACTAGCTCCTCCTCCATGCGGATCAGGCCATAATTGGGACGTGTAGCGTGATTACAAATTAACATGGACTGACGGACGGACTTTTCGACTGATATATCCCCAAACATAAAACTACAGAATCTGGGGCTTGTAGTGGGAATCTCTCTCATTTTTTAAGTTACCGACAAACGCCGATAAAACTAAAATACAAATTATGAATAAAAATCTAAATTTAAGTTGACAACATTGATGCTATCGGTAGGACTTAGCAACTACTTTATTTTGGTCGCCAATTTGCCGAAAATTTTCGTTTATTACGGAAGTTATTAGGATTTATGTCTAATTTTTAAAGTAATATGGATTATCCTATCTCGATCTATACCGATATAGCTATGTATGTCCGTCCGTCAGTCCATGTTTAATTATCATCACGCTATGGTCGCAATTATTGCCCGATCTCTACGAAATTAAGTATGGAGTTGGGGTTAGGGTCTGAATAAAATCCTATTGTTTGTGGAGATGATCGGATTGAAGTGGACCAAACACGGAAAAATACCTTGGTCATAATTACACACCAATCGATTCCGAATATCCCTTGGGGCTTAAGTTTAGGACTGGACAGAAGCCTGCAAAGAAGCGGATGTTTTTTTATTTTTTTTACCCTGCAACACTATGTGATGGGGGTATTATATTTGAAAATTAAAGGATGAACCTTGGAAATTAGGGACTTTTGAATTAATTCAATTTTGTATTAATGTATTTAATATCTACAGAAACTTTAGTTCAAATTATAGTCGTTTGGGTAACCTTACTTACCTTTTATACCCTCCACCATACTATGGAGGGTATATTAACTTTGTCATTCCGTTTGTAACTCCTCGAAATACTCATGTCCGACCCAACAAAGTATATATATTCTTGATCAGCGTAAAATTCTAAGTCGTTTTGGTGATGTCCGTCTGTCCGTTTTTCTGTCTGTCAGTTGTAATCACGCTATCTTTCGAACAAATTGAGATAGAAGGCTAAAATTTTGCACACATGTTTATTTTTCCAGTAGGCTGGTTAAGTTCGCAAATGGGCCATGTATTTCCACGTTTTCATATAGCCCCATATAACGGTACCTCCTGATATTCGGCATTTTGATAATTTTAGCGAGATTATTCACCGGAATTGTTTCAAAATTTGGCATTTGTAGTTCGTAATGGATACTACAGCCTAAGACAGAAAATTGTCTGTGCAGGTCCACGTCTTCGTATAGTCCCCATGAAACGGTACATCCCAAAATTAGATATTTTGATAATTTTAGCGTCATTATTCACCGGAATTGTTTCAAATTACGTATTTAGAGTTCGTAATGGAAACTACAGTCTGTGACAGAAAATTGTCTATGCAGGTCCAGGTCACCATATATCAGTACCTCCCTATATTCGCTATTTTGACGATTTTAGATACAATACCCACCGAAATTGTTTGAGATTTCGTATTTGAAGTTCGTAATGGATGCTACAGCCTGTGACAGAAAATTGCCTATACTGGTCCAGGCCTTCGCACAGCTCCGATGTAACGGCACCTCCATATATACGATATTTTCATGATTTTAGCTACATTATTCACCGTTTAATTTAAGTTTCGAATTTTAATATGGTAATGGCTTACGACAAACAATGTCTATGTATTATTTATTTTTGTTTTGTAAAAATAATGTTTCCAAATATCAAATCGTAGCAAATTCGGTTAGAAAGCAGGGCTAGTACAGGGATGTACGGAAAGGGACATTTTTGTAAATTATTGAATAAAAAGTAATATTTTTGCTAGTTAACACTTATCGGGGGCTATAAAATTTAGACCAATGCATAACTTTTTAAAATGTTCATGAGTCAGTTCATGAGGTATATAATATCGAAGGATTTTCAAATATTCCATCAGTACGAATACTCATATTAGGTTCAAAATGTTTCAATACTTAGCCCGATTGTTAGTGAGGTATCAGGAGGGGGGACAGAACTTGGATTACCATCACTTTATATATGGTTTATATATATTTTTTAAGTTTAATATTAATAGAAAGCCAAGTAACAAAGCAGATTAGTTCGGCCGGGTCGGACTTACAACAATCTTTACCATTTTGAAATAACTTGAAAATGTAAAAAAAAATCCGTCGAAAAATATCGCTTTATACGAAGACCTGGTTTTAGTACAATTACGAATTTTAAATGCCGCTAAAATTATCAAAATACCGAATATCGGGTGGTATCGTTGCATGGGGGATATACGATATCGTGGACATATATACAAAACTCTATTCCAGAGGGTATAATACTCAGAAGGAACTTTTTGTGTAGATTTCCAGACAATTTCATTAAAAAGTATGCCTAAAATTTTTAAAATATCGAATATCGGAAGGTACCGTTATATGGTGGATATACGATATAGATAATTCTCTTTCAGGGGTAAAGTACTCACAAAGAACTCCTGTTACATTTCAGGATTGAGATGAATTCATCCAATTGAGATGAAAATTTCGAAATAGTATTTGTTTGGGCCAGGGACGAACTTTATTGAAAATTTAGATATAGCTCCCAATATATCTTTATCCGATTTCAGGTTTTTTTGTACACCAAATGGCCAATATCAGTCCAAATTATCTGAATTTGGTCACATCCGACCGAATTCAGTCTAGAAATGAGTACATCAAATTTGGAGAAAATAGGTTCAGATATAGCTATGGTTCCCATATATATGTTTAATGCGATTTGGTGTTCAAGTCCCTCACATTCGTAATATGCTCTCCACAACAGTGATATATAATACCGGACATAATATACAAACCAGAAATACCTCTGTCAAATTGTATCGTATCAGATTTTATACGATATAGAGTTCATTGTGCATCAATAAGATAATGTCAGTAAAAATGAACTGAATCTAGGCAATTCCGATGGAATTCATACTTGAAAAAAGTACTTCGAATTTGGTGAAAATCGGTTCAGATATAGCTATAGCTCCCAATTATATGTTTCATCCGATTTGGGGTTTTAAGTCCCTCACAAGCGTAATATGCACTCCACAACAATGATCTTTGGTACCACATATCAGAAATAAGTGTTTAAAATTTTGTTAAGATCGCTTCAGATTTGGATATATCTCCCATATAAATGTTTATCCGATTCCAGGTTTTTTTTGTGCACCAAATGGCTAATATCAGACCAAATGAAGTGAATAGCTTTCATATACATGTTTCATCCGATTGGATGTTAAAATCCCTCACATGCGTAATATCCACTCCACAACAGTGAAATTTGAAATCTGCCAAATGGAGATGGGTCCAGATTTTCATATAGCTTCGATAAACATCTTCATTCAATTTTATGGTTATTGCTCACCATATCAGCCCAAATTGTATAAATTTTTTCATATTCCACCGAATTTTTTCCATTCGCTGAAACTCGGTCCGCTATATATATTGCTTCAATAACTATTTTTTAATATATTTTTTATCGAAATCATGAGGTACAAAACCTCCGTCAAAGTTGCTGAAAAATGACTCAGTGTTGGATATAGTTCCCAAATTGTGACTACCCCAAAGCTATGATACGCATTCAAATTAGGTTTATAGTTGGTATGATCTACTTCACATACACTTTTTTGTTAAGGGAGTTCTACTAAATACGCATAGTGGTGTAGGGT